CTCTTTCCAAAACCAGATGTTTTCTTGTTTTGCTATTTAGAGCTCTGGGCGCAAACTGCAAAGATGCTTCTGTCCAACTCCGCAGCTTGTAAAATCAGAGAGATACCACAGGAGGTCATGAAGCATTAGACTTTCTATATATGAAGTATCTCCTGTATGTTTTCCAAATGTCTTTTGAGGCAGGGACTGACAACCAACTTACAGCAAGGCAAACCTTGCACATCATGCATTGCACAGTAACTGTCCAAGCTAAACATTCAGCATCACCTACCTCATTAGGTAAGGAAGATTAGCTTTGTTCCTACTTCAAGGAAAATGGGGGCACAGTTAATGCAGCAGCCATACTGAGTGCTCTTAAACCTTACACCCCCAACTTACTCAACAGTAACGTGCGTGTATCCATAAGGAAGTGCTTTTATTTCACCCAACTTCAATTCAGTATTGAAACCATCATTATACCATTAACAAACCATCATTTGCATTTATTAGGAAAGAGTCCACTCCTTTTACGTCTTCACAGTCTGACGTAAAGCCTCCATCACCTCCTGCTGGATTTCTGTATTGATTTCCACCATGCAAAGCAGGTTGAAAGCAGTTAGCCACTTGTTTTTAAATGCTTTGCACATAAATAAAGCATGATTTCTCATGGTGTGAGGCATGGAGCAAACAGGTAACCAATAGGATAAACCCATCTCACTCACAGGACACTCAGTAGGGTCCAGTAGAAGATACTTTTTCCAGTAAACTTCATAAAACAAGGAAAAATTAACACCCTGCTCCTTTTTTAGAAACACACAAACCAGTTCTATTTGTTTACTTGACCCAAAATAACCTATTCTGACACAAGAAGAATGTTTCCTGAACCTCCTGTACTGGCTAAGCTGAATCGACAAACAAACCAGTCAAATTATACTCATGTGAATTCCTCACACAGAGCTGATCCAAAAGGCTTATAACACCAGTTATGAAGTCACTGCTGCTTCCCAGCTGACTCCAACACCTCTCTGGTTCAGCCACAGTTCCCAATGTACAGGCATCTCAACAACTGAGGGTATGCAGGGGTTAAGTGAGTTCTACTCCTGAGAACGAGGAGATCCCAGCACAAGTTCAAACAACGCAATAGGTGACATCTCTTATCCTCTCAAGAGGATCTACAGCAACTCTTCAACACGCAGGAGAATAAAAACTCAGCAAATGTAACCTTTCAGCATTCAACAGAAACAAAACAAAACGCTAAACAACATGCAACTATGGTTTCTTATCTCTGCTCACAAGGCAGACATGGTTTCATAACCGTTTCGCACAGGGGAGGACAGCTAGTCAAAAACAGGAGTGCCAGCATTGCCTGAGGTGCAGTGAGGAGGTTCAGCTGATGTGCAAGACCCCCAAAACCAACTAGTGTCACTGCAAATGCTGAACACCTGACTTGGCAAGAAGTTGCACAGGCGCTCTGAGGCCGCCAGGAGCCTAGCACTGTTCCTGGCTCAGCTACCACGTTCTAAGCAAACAGACTCCACACGGCACAGCAGCACAGACCTACAAACACAATAGCTCACAGGCACCCTGAGCTACAACCTCATAGCGACTGGGAAGCACAGCATGACAGTTCCTACACACTTGAGAGAATCCCCAGGTCAAGGCAAAGGACAGCAGTGAACCTGGTGCATGCCAGCAGTGTTCACCCTCACAGGCTAGCTCTTCCTGCATCTTATTTTTGGCAAAGAGGTGAAGCATGGTGCTAATGCAGAAGGAACACAAGCCTGCAGGGTAGTTAAATTTGCAATAGGATGCAGATAGGATAGGATGTCGAGAGCAGGAAGGGCATGGAACAGACCTTTGTTCAGCATTCCTCTGGGCTCAGCACTTACAGCTGAGTGAGAAACACCAGCAGGAGCCTGCCCACGACCTGGCAGCTCCTTTTCATGCCTGAACATAGAAAAGCACTGGACAAAGAGAAGATGAGAAAAGGCAATTAAAGATATTTGAGCATCCCTGCTAGGGGCAGGAGCATCACAGACTGCCCCAGATGCTGGAGAAGGGATGGAAACACAGCCACTGCACCTATACAGCACGCAGACTTGTGCCACGGAGTTTGGGACAATCCCTAACACGCGGAGCAGTGTCAGTGCTGGCTGATACACAAGGTGGAAACGTAACACGCACAGTCCAGGCCACACTTCAGGCATCAATGTGACATCATTAGCCTTCTCAAGTACCTCCCCTACATACAAGCTCTTACATGAGTTAATTTCATCCTGATAATCATGGGATAAAACCCTCTTAAATAAAAAGAGAACTTGTCCATACAGGCTTTTTGCTGGCCCACTGATATATCACCTTCCAATGCCTTCTAACCTGGCACGCAAACCAGAAGAGGAAATTAAACAGACACTACTAAATTAAATTAGAACAAGGGGTGATGGGTTCAAACTGAACCAGGGGAAGTTCAGGTTAGAGCTAAGGCAGAAGCTCTTCCCTGTGAGGGTGCTGAGGCGCTGGCACAGGGTGCCCAGAGAAGCTGTGGCTGCACCATCCCTGGCAGTGTTCAAGGCCAGGTTGGACACAGGGGCTTGGAGCAACCTGCTCTAGTGTGAGGTGTCCCTGCCCGTGGCAGGGGTTGGAACTGGA